TCCTTAATTAATGTTTTCAAGGTTAACTAACTGTTTATTAAGGATTAAGTAATGTTAAAAAATTTAGTCATTATAAAGTTTTTTCTCTTACTTTCTGTAAAAGAATATAATTGTCTTTTTTTAATTTTAGAAAAACTCTGAAGATGAAACTAGTATGCCAGTTCATATCAAAGTGAGCAATGAAATTACAATTATATAAAGAGTTCTGTTCTGGACAAATAATGGTTTAACTAAGCTTTTATTTCGGTTCTTTTTCAGCTGATGGGTGCTTTGAACGATGACGATTCTTCAGTTTGCAGCACAGTCAATCTTCAACCTCCAGAGCCTGAACCTGAAGAAATAGTGGAAGAAGAACCAGAACCCGTGGAGCCAGAATCCTGCTTCACTGACAGTATGAATTATTATTTTTGTCATTATTTTTAAACAATATAAACATCATAATATTTTCACATTTAATTTTTTTGTTTCTTTTATCTTCAGAATGTGTGATGAAGTGGCCGTGTTTGACCGTGGACATTTCCAGCGGCAAAGGCAAGCTGTGGTGGAACCTTCGTAAGACTTGCTTCACCATAGTGGAGCATGACTGGTTCGAAACCTTCATAATTTTCATGATCCTCCTCAGCAGTGGAGCTCTGGTGAGGACTTTTAAAACCATTTGCCATCAGAGCATATACCACGATTCTGTTGGGACTTTAAACGTCTCCTCTTTGCAGGCTTTTGAAGACATACACATAGAACGACGCCGCACCATCAAAATCTTTCTGGAGTATGCTGACAAGATTTTCACCTACATCTTTGTCATCGAGATGCTCCTTAAATGGGTCGCGTACGGCTTCAAGACTTACTTCACCAACGCTTGGTGCTGGTTAGACTTTTTCATTGTGGATGTGAGTTTAGCTGCGAAGCATCAGAGCTGGTATATTCCAACTATGACTCGTGCTTCAAAGTCTTTGCTAACGTTTAAATAGGAATTGCTTTGGTTCTGCCACAGGTCTCCTTGATTAGTTTAGTGGCCAACTGGCTGGGATACTCCGACCTTGGACCAATCAAATCGCTCAGAACCCTGAGAGCACTGAGGCCTCTTCGAGCGCTGTCAAGATTCGAAGGCATGAGGGTATATACGTTTTATTTGTATATTAGCACAGGTGTTAGCCCTTTGCATGCCTTACAGTGATTTAGAAGAAATAAACTTGTAATTTTAAATGCATTTTTGTGTTAATTTGATCGACTTGTGTTTAAATGCATGCTTTCAACATGGCTGCCTGCTGTATGAGAGCTGACAGAGGTAAGTGTTCTGAAGTCTATTTGCAACATTTATTAGCCCACTGTCTTACTGAGACCCCCTTTACACTGGGTGACAACCCTGAAATTATTAACCAGAATAAAAGTGGTCTCTGCAGGGTCTTGGTGAGGTTGTAGCAATGTTGTGGTTTATGATGACGTAATGGGGTCCTGGTTGGATCTTGGTGGTGGTCTATTTATAACTTGTAACCCTCATCTGGGTTATAGGGCTGGTTATTGCAAAGCTCTCACATATGTAGCTGCAGCATCCAATATAAGCTCTTCAAGTGCCAATAAACGCTACAGCCAATGAGGTATATTCAATAGAGGAGCTGTCGCCGTGACTTTTCATGGTCAGAATGAGTAGCCATCTTGTGCAGGGGAAGGACTGTGCATCCTGCAGGAAAAACCTTGGTTACTAGTCTAAATTTGTGAAAGGAAAAATGTATCATCTGCTGAAATTAAATAAGGGTGGGCTTGTCGGTCCTTCTTGGGAGACTCTCCAGAGGTCCATGAATATGATTTCAGCAACAACACAGACTGTTAGCTGTTAAAGCTGAATGTTGTAACTATGATATGTTAAATTTAGGTCACCACATTGATAAAATTCAGTTTGCAGTTGAAAACTATTGTTTAAATTTGATAGAAATTTCCCCTCTGAGGGACAATAAAGTTTTATTTTCTATTGTTGCCAATTTACAGATGTCTGAAATAAATTATGTTTCTAAAAGGCAAAAGCCAACCAAATTAATCCTTTTTAGCGATCATGAACAATGAACTGTAATTTATTTTGATTAGAATTGCAGTTGGAAATATATTGCTTCAATTAACTTGTAAAATTCTGTAATACAGAGGGGTGCAGTTTTCTGGCTGATCACTGATCTTTAAAAAGTCTGATCTGCCTGTTTGATCTTTGGCCGATACAATGTTTTTCAAAAAGTGACTCTGTCGGGTGTTATAAGGTCACAATAACCTTCAATGTTCCACTTGTATTGAAAAAACATTGAAACATACTCTTGAAACAACACAAACTTGTTTTAACTGGACATTYGATAGTGCTCACAGCAGAGCAAAAGGGGATAGTGGCTGATTTTCAGACCTTTGTGGAGATATWTGAGAAGCAGATCTTTTCCATTGATCTCATCTGAGTATCAGATCTCRGATCTCCCAATATTTGGGAAATTGGTGCCCCCCTAGATTGTTGTTCACATTGTAAGCCATCATCTTCAATTTATTCTCTGCAACATGAAATCACACTGACACCTAGGTACACAAATACGAACTGGGTAGAACATAACAGACAATTTAAAATGATTCAGCTCCTTGCAGTATCTCATTATTTGACACACCCATGAGGTGTTTTGCTCTAAAGAACGATTTAATAAGTTGCTAATATTTGTAACTCAGGACTCAAGGTGAAGATCAACCAAGTCATGCAGGACAGGCACCGATGGAAGCAGGTCATAGGTCACCTTCTACCAAAGTATGACCAAGAAGAAGAATAAGGAGAATATTTGTGAACCTGATCTGGAAACATACATGTACAGTYCAACTTGAAAACCATAGCTGCTGATTTTTTATAGATCATTTCATGAGAATTGCTTTCTTTAGTAAGGCAGGAAACGTGGGAAACCAGTTATTTTCACAACTAAACAATTTCTTTGGCCTTATTCAAAAGTATTTGTAGCAATCCATGCAGAATCTTTTAGAACAGCAGATTTCTTCCATGCCTAATTAAATCAAAAAGTTGGACAAAAAAGTAATAGTTACTTGGGATTCTACTTGGAAATTTAGCAATGATACATTGTTTGCATTGACATGCGTCCCTCACAAGATGGTGCAAGCTCATACCACAGTGTTAAAGGTTCTGAAGCGGGCCTGTTGCCTCTTTTCGGTATACCTCATTAGGTGCACCATGGTCAGTCATATTTCCAAAGATATTTGATAAATAGTAAMAGAATAGCAGCGTTATGATTCTGRCACCATCAACCCATTTTCCAGTTGGTTGTTCAGTCATAGAAAGCAAAACAGGGTCATCAAGCAGTGTGAAGCGTAATTTAGACATCACTCCAAAGGTTTCTATCAAAGTCGATCACAGTTCTTTTTATTGGCCCAGGTTGTGGTGAATGCGCTCGTTGGAGCGATTCCCTCCATCTTCAACGTGCTGCTGGTCTGTTTGATTTTCTGGCTCATCTTCAGCATCATGGGCGTTAATCTGTTCGCTGGCAAGTTTTATCGCTGCATCAACACCACCTCGGGTGAACTCTTCCCCATGTCAGAGGTCAACAATCACAGTGAATGCATGGCCCTGAAGGAGGCCACACAGGAGGCTCGCTGGGTAAACGTCAAAGTCAACTACGACAATGTTGGACAGGGATACCTGTCTCTGCTTCAAGTGGTAAGGATGCTTTTGAAATTAATATTTTTGTTTTTTTAAATGCCACTGTATTAGATGAAAATTCGAAGAACTTCTAAACTTGCAGGCAACCTTTAAAGGCTGGATGGACATTATGTARGCTGCTGTGGACTCAAGAGAGGTAATAATGATTTCAAGACCATAGCTCAGGGGTTCTGAATCCAATGCATACATAACATGTTCTTTTTTCCATTTAGGTTGAGGAGCAACCATCTTACGAGATCAACCTCTACATGTATCTATATTTTGTTATCTTCATCATCTTTGGTGCCTTCTTCACCTTAAACCTCTTCATCGGTGTCATTATTGATAATTTCAACCAACAAAAGAAAAAGATGAGTATAATTAGGAATACATTTTCACGAAAACGATTGTTCTCAAAGTGAATAATTGTTCCTTTCTTTCATTGCACTTGGGAGACAAAGATATTTTCATGACGGAAGAGCAAAAAAAATACTATGAGGCCATGAAGAAACTTGGTTCCAAGAAGCCGCAGAAGCCAATCCCACGCCCAACGGTAAATATGTATTCATTAGTAATCCTAACAATTTATGTCAAATCTGCTGACTTTGATTCGACACTGATCATCTCTTAACAGAACCCAATCCAGGGCGTGGTGTTTGACTTCATCAACCAGCAGGTCTTCGACATCTTCATCATGGTTCTCATCTGCCTCAACATGGTGACTATGATGGTGGAAACCGATGACCAAAGTCCGGAGAAGGAGGATTTCCTTTTTAAGCTGAACGTGGCGTTCATCGTCGTCTTCACCGGGGAGTGTGTGCTGAAGCTCTTCGCGCTGCGGCAATACTTCTTCACCAACGGCTGGAACATTTTTGATTTCATCGTTGTCATCCTGTCGATAGCTGGTGGGCACGAAGTATTGCAGTAGTGGCTGTGAAACTGCTTTGGAAGAAGTAGCGTGTTGACACGATTCATTCTTGTGTTTCAGGTACGATGCTCTCAGATTTAATCGAGAAGTACTTTGTGTCACCGACTCTCTTCAGGGTGATCCGGCTGGCCAGGATTGGCAGGATTCTGCGTATCATTAAAGGAGCTAAGGGTATTCGGACGCTTCTCTTTGCTCTGATGATGTCCCTCCCTGCTCTGTTCAACATCGGCCTCCTGCTCTTCCTTCTCATGTTCATCTTTGCCATCTTTGCCATGTCAAATTTCGCCTACGTCAAAAAGGAGGCTGGGATCGATGACATTTTTAATTTTGAGACGTTTGGTGGTAGCATTATCTGCTTGTTCCAGATTACGACATCAGCGGGCTGGGACGGGCTTTTGCTTCCGATGCTGAACCGGGAGCCTCCGGACTGCGATCCAGAATGCGAAAACCCAGGCACGGATGTGAAAGGTAACTGCGGCAGCCCGCTGATGGGCATGGTGTTCTTCTGCAGCTACATCATCATTTCCTTCTTAGTCGTGGTCAACATGTACATCGCCATCATCTTGGAGAACTTCAACGTGGCCCAGGAGGAGAGCGGCGACCCCCTCTGCGAGGAAGACTTTGAGATGTTCAATGAAACGTGGGAGAAGTTTGACCTGAACGGAACGATGTTCATCAAGTACAGCCAGCTCTCAGATTTCTGCGATGCCTTGCAGGAACCACTAAAGGTTCCAAAGCCCAATCTGCTTCACCTGATCAAAATGGATCTGCCCCTGGTGATTGGGGACAGGATCCACTACCTGGATGTGCTGTTGGCTGTCACTCAGATGGTACTGGGAGACACGGTGGAGATGGCGGCCATGGCAAAGAGCGTTGAGATTAAGTTCTCTTTAAGCAACCCCACAAACGACTCCTTCGCACCTATTACCACAACCGTACGCCACAAAGAAGAGCAGAGGGCTGCTGTGGTTGTTCAGAGGGCCTACCGCAGACACCTTCTGAAGCGCTGCGTACGCCACGCCGCCTTCATGCACCGATTAAAGAGGGTGGGTAGAAAAGACGAAAGTGACGATCCTCCCGAGAAGGAGGGGTTGCTCACTCGAAGGATGGGGGTGCTCTATGGGAGCAACACAGACCTCGCTGAGGAAATGGAGCAAAATGATTTGCAAACTCTAGCAACCCAGGAGCAACTTAACGCAGAGACAGCGTCACAGTGTGACCACAAGCCCCGTGAGCCAAACATAATTGTCGTTCCTGTTGAAATTACAAATGAGGTTTTATTACATTCTGCCCCCAATCGACACCTCCTGAAAGAGTCTGTTGTATGACGAAGATAAAGATGTTGTACACTAGATTCTTCTTTTTTTTAAACAGTAAATAAATCAGTGCTAGTCAGTTCAAAGCTTCTGAAGTTAACTTTATTTTGAAAGAACAATTTAGAGCTTGTTGATGCAAACAATCACTTCAGTTGTTTTTTTATGGAACCTTTAGCAGGATAGACTATAACAGGGGTGGCCAAGGTGGGTTTTTGTGTAGGGGGTGGGGGGTGCATACACAAATGAAAAAAGATGGCAGCCAAAGCTAATTCCAAGTGGCTTTAATTCAGCTGTTTTAATAAATACTGGGCTAATTTTTTTTTTGTGATCATAGCTAAGAATGATAAAAAAAAAACATACTGAATGTTAGTCACAACTTATCATTCAGTCATTTTTAGACATACAAAACTAAAGATTAGTGTAGAAGTAGCCAAACAACAAGCTTTACCAAGTTCTTAACGCTAATCAAAAATTCAAGATGGCCACTACAATTAATTTTAAAAGTCTATCATTCAGCTGTTTTAAGACTTCTTAAGATGAGATTTACTGTGGGGTAGCTAAGAATGATCACATGCTGATTGTCGATGCTAATTCCCAATTAAGCTAACCACTTACGCTAATGCTAATTTTACAAAGGGTTTTAAGTCAGCCATTTTTAAACATACACAGCTGAAAATAAACATGGTACAGCAGTATCAGAGAACAACCTATAACAAAATTACAAATATAAAACCCAAGATTCCCACCCTCTTGTAATTGGAGGTGGCAGCTGGGGAGGCCAACCAGGTTCCAGGGGTGGCTCTGGTTCCCCCTCTGACTCCACCCCTTAAGRTGTCTTTTTCAATGGTGAAACAGGAATCCATGTTTTTATTATAGTAGCCATAATAATCAGCAAAACTGGAGTGAGAAAAAATTATAACATTCAGAATTTAAGGCCTTGTCTAACCCACGTTGGATATTAATTTTTATAGTGAAGACAAGTATTCCAGTATTTTTGTTAAAAATTTTCATTAAATGAATTTTCTATAAAAACTATCTAAAGTAATTTAGAGAGGGCCTGAAAAGGCTGCCTTTTATTCACCCCACCCCCACCCTTTTTGTTTTTACTCAAAAATCACCAGTTTAGCTCTTCTTGGATGAAATATGGACCAGGTTTAATCTACTCCATGTTAGATTTAGGTAAATAATCCTAAAGTTTTAACATGAACAATAAACAGCTAAGCCATTTTAGGGTAAAAACAACAACAACAACAATTTTGCTTTTGCCATAAAAATGAATGTGATGGTTGTCTCTCATATTTGGAGGTGTTGTTACTCAGCTTTTACAAGCCTGAAAGAAAATTAATGTAAATTTGTGCAAAAGTTGTAGGTATCTGATGGTCTGAACAGAATTTCTGTTTCATCACTTCGGAGCTGAATTTAAAAGGAATCGATTTATCTAAATAATTCATGTTCTCTCTTACTGTAGCACAGCTTCTGTTAACTAAATGCTACATTTTCTTTGAGGAAATTTGATTTGTACATATGTAAATCAGATCAACATTTGTCTCAGTTTGTATTGCACTATTTGTTTCCAAATTTAGAGCAGATCATGTCTTTATAAACACTCCTTTATAGAAATGTATGTCTTAAACCTTTTTTCTTAAATTTTTGTATTCATTTTGTCATCCTTTTGTCCCTTTTCCTTCCATTTTGTTGATTTTACATCATAACACAGCTTTAAACATGAGAAACATTGTCTTTAAATTGAATTTTAAAGTAATTCTGTTAGCATTGCAGCTGCAACTGACTGTTCATGAAGGAACAACACAGATACTTTGGTACTTTTTACATTTTGCAGAGTTTTGAGTGTTTAGGGATCTGAAAGTTTTGATTAAAACAAACACATTTTTACAAAGTACAGATATGTAAACTGTTTATATAAAAATACAAGAAGCTTTCTTTAACGTTTTTTCGCTCAACAGTTCTGCAGGATTTCTGAAGGTCTTTTCGTCATCATTTTTATTCAAACTTTAGCTGCTTTTTTCACAAACTTTAGGCCCATTCCTGGCACGCAACAAGATAAAACAATATATCTTTAAAAGACTAAGAACCTTTACGTTGGCTCGTTTAAGTCTTAACTAAGTTTAAATGTCTTACGTGGAACACGCTGTGCAGAAGTTTTGAGGCGCTGTGAGTTAAGTGGTACTGTGAAACTAAAGCTGTGAATATTTCCTTTTTATTTAAATATYCACAAAGTTCTCTAAAGCATTAATCCCTTTTTATGCCCATCCTTGTATTCTGAGTTTAGCTGAAGTTACACAGAGATCACCTTTTACTACATTAGCAACATTATTACCTTTCAGTGTAAAATGGTACATTTTTCCTGCATATAAAACAAGTTTTAGACAATAATAGACATAAAAGTAAAAAATGTGCGGCAGGTTTAACACAGAGATTATTTAGCAACATAAACAATGATGTTTAGATTTCAGGATGTCTTGCTGAAATAAGCAAGATCTTCCCTGATAGCTGCACTTTCATAAAGTTTTACTTTCTTCCTTCACAAAGTGGCCTTTTTGCATCTATTTCAAAAACAAAACAGACATTTTTAAACGTAATATAATTTCCTTGAAGTATTTTAATTGAAATATTAAATATTTGTGTTTTTTATTTAAGTTTTACACGTTTGGATGATTATTATTATAGCCCGTACCTGATAAAAACCTCTGCATTGTGGAAATCCATCCAAACCTCTGAATTGCCTGAAACATTCTGCACAGTTGTGTAAATTAAATAAGCACTTTTACAGTTTTTCATTAGTTTTTGTTTTTAACTGTACACAGACTGAATCCTCTTTGTTAATTTTAATCATTTCTCACCCGCCTTGGAGGAAACCCAGAAGGAATTAAAAATGATTCTGCATGTTTTCTCCATGCGAGCGTGTTTGTCTGCGTCTCGTCCTGCTGCTGCAGCACTTTCTGCTCAGATGTTTGTAACGTGACCTGCAGCTCTTCTGTTTGAAATTGAGACTGCTGCTCCACTTAAAAAATAAATAAATAAAAAGTCTCTTGTGATAGTTTGGTGATAGAAGACAGCGTCCTCCATTTGTTTACATTTCTACTAGAGGACAAGCTTTCTGGGGATTTTATTTTACAGACTCAGTATTACCTCTTTAAATTTTTTTGTTTTTCCCCTTTTCTCCTGAACTGTATATTTGTATAATTGTTTTGTTATTGTAAAAAAATTGTAAGTATGTTAGAATAAACAAATTCTTGTAGTTTCAACAAATGTTGTCATGTCAGCAACTTTTATTACAGTTTTATTTATTTTTTTATTCTTTGTTTTGTCATGTCTGAAACTAAACCTGCTCTCTGCTGACCTCTGGTGGTTGTCTGTGTGAAATACTACCAAGCTTGGTTTTCATTTTACGTTTCACTTGCAATTATTTATTATTGATTATGCTTTTGCCCGTGTCTGTGTAAGAGTTTGTCTGTTAGCAAAATATTTCWCAAACCACTGGGCAAATTTTGATGAAACTTTTAGTAAATAATCCTTGGATGTATGTCTGAAACTGATTATTTTTTTAAATCAGTCCAAATCAAGATGGAAGCCACAGCTAATCAATGTTAGCAAATAAAAATAGATACAATTTAGTTGATTTTACAGATGTTGAGCTACAATTTATTGTAGTAGCYGAGAGTCATAATATCACATGATGTGATATTTTTGAGGTTTGATTAAAATGGATGCAACTCTATCGTTTCTCAACACAAATTAGTTGCATCTGTCACCACTAATTAAAGTCATCTCTGAGGGATGTAAGGTAATTTCATCTCTTTAGTTGTTAAAACTTGTTCTGAGCRGGAGCCACTAAGGGCAGATCAACAATGACATTTAGGGGAATGTGCTCAGCTTGGCTGACCTGAGACCGTCACTCTTGACTGCATGTGGATGTTGCAAAACAAGAATTAAGGGTTTCCAGCTGCACTGGATGACTCGGCTGCTCAGAAGTAAATYTGCTCTGGAGACGTGTACAACCAGCCCGGCATATTAGGCTGGATTTCCTGGAACCACCATCAGTCACACAAAGAAAGAATCAAGTTTTAGGCCAGTGCATCCCGTATTTATTCACTCTTGTCTGGGTTTTTCTGAGAACAGAGGTGTATAGAAACAAAGTACATTTACTTTGTTGCAGTATTTWAGTAATTTCTGTCTGTGTCTGCCATTTTACCAAGTTTTTTTTAAAGGGATTGCCGATGAGATGTAACATTAGACTTTATTTGATGAACATATATTTTAACTGTAAAATAAAGACTGTAAAATACTGTAG